TTAAAGTCAAACATATGATGCTATTTGTGTGTAAAGGGTTTTCTCTTGCACCCATTTGTTTCTCCAGCTTGAATTTCTATGTAAACTCCGTTGGCTAAATTACACAAGCCGCCTACACCCTGCCGCCACCTCCCTCGCTTTAGAGCAGGGGGTGGAAACCTCCGTCTGCAACGCAGAGTATCCAGTACGCAGCTCACTGCACTAAGCAAAGGAAGATTTCCTAACGGGAAGGGCTACCCAGTGCCCACTCCCCTATTTGTGCCCATTGTTGTAAATATGCAACTTTGAAACATGGCTTTGAGACATTTTTGGCAATTTATCCTAAACCTGGCCTTTTGTCCCCTTCTTCTCCTTTGTAAGCCATAAAAAATCTTCATTATCTTCCTTCTTTTTCTATGCCCTAGATGCACAGCCTTTTCCCCTAAAAAGCAATAATAATGTGCATCTAAAGCAAACCTCTTACTCTTTTTCTTAAGCAACTTTATGGAGGTATAATTTATAAAATTCACTCATTTGAAGTGTACAATTCAGTACTTTTTAATAAATTTACCAAGTTGTGCAACTGCCGCTGTTATCTAGTTTTAGAACATTTCCATCACCACAATATGATCCCTTATGCCCCTTGTAGTTAATCCCCACTCCCAGGCCCTGGCAGCCGCTAATCTACTTTCTGTCTCTAGATGTGCCTCTTCCAGACACTGCACATAAAATGCTGTATAACGTGTGGCCATTTGCATTTGGCTTCTTCCACTCAGCATAATGTTTTAGAAGTTCTTCTGTGTTGTACCATGTGTCAGTATTTCTTTCCTTTACGTTGCTGAACAATATTCCGTTGTATGGTTGTATCTCATTTTGTTTATCCGTTCACCAGTTGATGAATATTTGGGTTTTAACTTTTTGGCTATTATGAACAATACTACTATGATCATTTGCTTGCAAATGTTTACACAGACATGTTAAACTTCTTATTCTTGATAACGAATAAAATTGTATGTTTCTAGTTTTTAATTCAAAAATTAAATTCAGTTGTTGAACTTTTTATAATCCTAGTCCTTTGCCCCTCAAAAAACTCCTCCTAAATTAAACTGGCTTTTTTTTTCTTTTCTGTGAGGCTATCAGTTGATTCTTTTTCTCTGAGTCACTGGCCGTTAACAGAAAGGCACTCCCCACTTGTTAGAAAAATGTTCCCAATTCTTGCTTTCAAAAAAGAAAAAGGACAGGCGTGATGGCTTATGCCTGTAATCCCAGCACTTGGGGAGGCCGAGGCAGGAGGATCACTTGAGCCCAGGAGTTCGAGACTGCAGTGAGCTAAGATTGCACCACTGCACTCCAGCCTAGGTAACATAGCAAGACCCTGTCTCTAAAAAAAAGAAAAAGAAAACATGTTTTAATTTTTTAAAAAAAGAAAAATATCGATTATCATCCAATTTAAGGGGCACTGATTCCACACATCCCTCGTGTCCATACCTGCTTTGGGGATGAGGAAGCCAAATGATGAGCTGTGGACCCTTGAAGACCATACCATCAAGGGGGGAGTAAATAGGCAGACAGCTATTCCCATTTTGCAGCCATCAGTAATGACAGATCATTTAAATTCTTCTCTCCTTTTCTGCCTTCTTTGATAAAGGAAAAATTATTTTCAAGAAGTACTATCAAAGTCTCTACCTTTTTTCCCAGCTAAAAAAATTTCAGCTCATACAAGGTTAGTCTCAGCCAGAGCTTTGTGCCTTGTCCAAGTGGAGGAAATATGCACACACTTTTCCAAAGAGCAGCAGCTGGAAGCCCTTACCAGCTGCTATCCAGCTCAGCCTTCCATCCTACACAGGACTATCTCCTGGGCAGTCTTGGTTTGGATATGTCCAGGGCCTGGGAGCACACAGCTTCATAAGGTGGCCTATTTCGTTAGTCAACTGTTGGCTACATAGTTTTTCTTATTTTTAACTGGACGTTTTACTCCGTGTTATTTTATCCATTACCCTCATGTCCATGTGCCTCTTGCACACGGTACCCTTTTACATATTTTAAAGTACTTACCCTCTCTTTCCTTTCTAAGGTAAGCTCTGCTAGCTCAGAGGTTCTTTTTTATCTTTTCCTTCCTTTTTTTTTTTAGAGACAGGGGCATGAGCCACCATGCCTGGTCAATTCAGGGATTCTTATAACAGACCCTGATCCCTAGGTGGGGTCTAATCTATTTAGAATGTAGTAATTGGGATGAGACTATTAATGTGGCTGAGTGCTGGGGTTTGTTTGTTTCAACAGCCACCTCACCCCCCGAGGGCCCCTATGAAGCTTGTGATTCACCAAACCAAATCTCTTGGTTTCATACTTCAGTTCTTCTCCTTTCTGTTCTGGAGTCATTTTGTTGTTGCTGAGTCCTGTGTAACTTTATATTTAACCCCGTTAAATTTGCTCTTACTGGGGATTGGGTTTTTTTTTTAATAGTAAAATGTACGTAACATGAAATTTACCATTTAAACCGTTTTTAAGGATACAGTTCAATTGCATTAGTACTTTACTGTTGTTGTCCAACACCATCACCATCCATCTCCAGAACTTTTTTTTATCTTCCCAAACTGAAACTCCGTACTTGCTAAACAATAATTACCTCTTTCCTTCCACCCCAGCTCCAGGCAACCTTCTGTCTCTACTTTCTTTCTCTGAATTTAACTCCTATAGGTATGACTGGAATCATACAGTATTTGTCCTTTTGTGATTGGTTTATTTCACTTAGCCTGATGTCTTAAAGGTTCATCCATGTTGTAGCATGTGTGAGAATTTCCTTCCTTTTTAAGGCTGTTGTATGTATAGACCACATTTTGTTTATCCATTCGTCCATTGGTAAGACACATCTGGGTTGCTTCCACCCTTTGACTTTTGTGAATAATGCTGCCGTAAACATGAGCGTAAAATTATCTTTTCTAGTCTCATTGAACTTACTGGTTTTAACTCATTACATTTTTCCCTCATTCATTATATTTTGCCCCTGTTTTGTGTTATTGGATAATTATCTGCAAATCACATAAGGTTGATCTCTGACTTTTATACAAGTCCCTTCTTGATAAAAATGTTGCATTTCCAATTGATTTGAAGATATCATTTTGCACAAAAACTGTCATTTCCTGTATCTCCAAGTCTTTTTTCAAGACTTATGACGTGGTCTTCACAGCTGGACTCTGGAAGCAGATGGCTTTCATATTTAGCCTGAGTCTGAGATTGTCATAGTTCCTTTGGATAAAGTCTCCTTGGTGGGCAGATATTGGGGGGAATCAAATAACCAACCTCTAGGCTGGGTCAAAGCTGGAGGTTTGGGGGTTTTCGTTTGTTTTTGTTTTTTATTTTTATCTTTTTATTTGAAGGCTGCTAAGACTACACAGAAACTAATATCAGGCGCCAAAAAGAAGCGAACTGAGTCTTGGAGTCACCTGATTAGGATTGAATTCATTTGCTCCACAAATATTTATTGAACTCCTACTTGTGAAAAGCACAAAGTGATTTGGGAAGACAAAAGATGAATAAAACACATTCCCTGCTTTCAAGATGTTTACAGTACAAGAAATTAGAGGAGCTTCCTGTGATAACCCAGAGATCTTTAGGCAAAGCTTCAGCCTGTAGCTGTAAAAATACATCTTAAGATGAGGAAGATTACAAAATACACCAAAAAGCAAAGTGTGCTCTGAAATTACATTTTAGTTAGTATAGGTGGGTTTTAAGCGAGGATTTGAAGAGAAACTGAAAAATCTCAACATGAAAGCTTCAGAGGTGTTTAACTTTTGCTTTACTTTGGCTACTGTGAGAGCTACAGGAAAACAAAAAGTACTCTTGCTCTTGACAGTATAAAATTCTTATTATTTTTAGAGAATAGTAACTACGCATTTATGAAATTCTTTGTCAGAGCAATTTAGTTAATAGGTATGTAAATGACTACTTATTTCATTGTGTAGGTGGATCGCTCCATGTACACCTTCTAAGGAAGAATATAAGTGCTAAAAACTATTAACATTGCAAATGGAAAGGAGCAAAAGTTAAGGCTAGAGTGCCATACCTTTGCTGTGTTAGGTATTAGGAGTGAGAAAGTCCATCTTGTAGTCAATTTGTTTGGTTTACTAATCACCTGACTCTGGCATTGTTTTGGATGCGTGGAAACTGATTGGGATGCAGCGAGGTTGTTTCCTGCTATTGGTTTTCAAGCACAAAAATCATTACAAACCTAGCTGAGTAGAGTGGGGGAGGTACTGAAAGTTAATGCCACAGCAATAAATTTCAATTATCTCCTTAAAAAACACCTAAAGGGCTCTTTAAAAAGTTTGTTTTTTGGTATAAAAACACCTTCAGAGGAAGCTGGGAGATTCAAATCTCTTCTGACCCTGGCTGCCTCCTGGGATCAGGATGGAAGCTTCTCCAGTTGCTGAAGAGTTAATGCAGGCCTCCTCCCAGGGAAGACGTCACCAGTGGGAGAGAATAAATGCACCCCCCTGACTGCCCCCCCTCCCACAAATGGTCCCACTTCCTTCGCTTGAATTCACCCTGCCCCATGAATTAGCCTTATCTTAATTCTGCTTTCATCATTACATTCCCCTTCTTAGAAATTTCCTTGGGTTCTCATTTGTCATGCAAATCAAACTAAAATGCTTAGTAATGGATCCCAAGCTCTCCACCCTCCTTACCTAATGCTCTTGACTCCCACTCCCCCCACATCACCAGCAAGCTCAGTGTTTCTCCTGGGGATGCAGCTCATCTCCTGCCCCTGCCCTGCTGCTCTCCTGGTAACTGAGTGCCTTCCTCTTAGCGCTCACCCTTTGGCTCCGCACAACTGTTGTCCTAGGCCCAAGTTCCTTCACTTGGCAGGCTCCTTCTGCGCCGTACTGTGGCCCCTGTGGGTAGAGACCAGTGGCAGTGTGGACTTAATTCTCCAGCCCTGTGGGGGCTCTGCACATTGTGGGTGCTTCTTCATTCACATTTTTCATGTATTTGGTTTTGCTTTTGTTTTTCTTTTCCTTCAGGTACAGAGTGAAGACAGTGTCCTCCTGTTTGTTATTGCGTGGACAATCACAGAAATTATCCGTTACTCCTTTTATACATTCAGTCTATTAAACCATCTGCCTTATCTCATCAAATGGGCCAGGTAAAAAAATATATGGAATGAAGACTAACGTTTGAAGTTATCCATCATTGCATTTGCCCTTTGTTGCCTAAATATTACCAAGTTTCTAAAAATAAAATTGTATGAGATAGAGGTTGGGTAGAAATGTGGTCTAGATTTCATCAGAAAAAGGGTCTCTACTTTGATGAATAGAAATCCTGTTTTAAAATTTTTATGTTTTACATAAGCCATTTTTGTTGGGATCAGTTCTTTTCGGTTAAATTATTCAATAGAGATTTGATGAAACATCCCATTTTTATCCTTATCAGATTTTACTGATGAGCCCTTGCCATTGTGATTTTTTCCTAGTCTGTTTGGCCAAGAAGCTGTGACTCTTAAACTGATATTTAGTTAACAATAAACATTACATGTTTTAGCTTATCTTTTTTATTTTGCTTTGATTATTTTTACCAGTAATATTCTTTAATGAGTTAGGTGAAAGGCTGATAGTCCTCTGTTTACCCCGAGACAATTGTGAGCAGGGTTCTGAGTTGGGAAAGACTACGAGGGTAGTGACAAAACAGAAGGGTCCAGATTGTCCTTGGGGCCGAAATGCCTCATTTCAGAGAAGGAAAATATTGATTCCTAGACAGTTTACAAGTTCAGTGATTAAATTAGGGACATAATCCAGTTGTTTCCAACATTTCCAGTACGAGAACTCCTGCATTATTTGTTGTTTGCAATAAAACATTTTTACTGGGAAAAGGGGAGAATAGGAAACAGCAGCACTAACCAGCATGGACAGGCATTGCGAAAGCCGTCTCTCCTGGTTGTAGGGGAAGTTTGTTGACCGAGACCCGATTCCACTGTTGGAGAGAGTCTTTGTCCACTGTTCTCCACAGCCTCTGAAAAATTCTTCCTTTTCCATTGTCCTCCTTAGCATGGCTAACATTGTCATTGGGGAACATGTCTTCCCTTCGTCCTCATAGATTTTTCAGCACAATTCCTGTGCCGGGAAGCTTGTAGTTCATTGCTCGTTATAAGCCACCAAAAGCCAAGGCTTTTTAACACATTGACTGCCACACTAGAAAAAAAATTTTTCCCTGGGGCCATGGTGTTCTATTAAAACAAACAATCCTTTCTAATTTGTTATTTTTTTTATATTGTTTTCTGTGCATGAGTTATATGCAAGGCAGTCTACATTTTTAGATTTAAATTGTCAATATTTTAACAATAAGAACATCAACAAGTAAGATTTTCACAAACCAATTATAGGATTTTGCTTCATGAGGCCCCGGCTCAAAACTAGTATGAGTTAACTACAACTCACATGACAGTTAATGTGTTAAAGTCTGTGTGGATCATTCCTTTAGTGATATTTATACCTCAGAATGGCTTTCAGTTAGCTCCATGAATTTTTTTTTATTTTTTTAAGAGGCAGGGTCTTGCTCTGTTCCCCAGGCTAGAGTTCAATGGTGCTATCACAGCTCATTGAAACCTCCAACTCCTGGGCCCACAAGATCCTACTGCCTTGGCCTCCTGAGTAGCTAGAACTACAGGCATACACCACCATGCCTGGCTGATTTTTCCATTTTCTGTAAAGACGGGGACTTACTGTATTGCTGAGGCTGGTCTGGAACTCCCGGCCTCAAGCAGTCCTCCCACCTCGGCCTCCCAAAATGCTGGGATTATAGGCATGAGCCACTGTGTCCAGCCCTGAATTCTTTTTGAGACATAGAGAACTACTTTTTAAAGTCAAAAAATTGTGTGGATTCCCTCCCATGTGATGATAATTGTAATTGTGGAGTTTTTTATTAGAAAATTACATAATAACCTAAAGCTATTATGAATTTAATTTTTTTAATTACATGTATTTGATTTTTCACAATAGCATGTACAGACTTTTGAAGAACAGTAGCAGTATACCTGTTTGCACTATTTTTATTTTCAGTCCACAGACCAGACTTGGCGTATATTATAGGAATTCCTAGATAACATGTTCCAACTCCTCCCCACCACCACCCTGACCCCCTCTAAATCCCCCAGCCCCATGCCTTAGCCCACAGGGCAGGACCCTTCAGTATAAACCATGGCCCAGTGCCCCTGCTTTGCCAGTGTTTGTTATTGCCTTGTTATTCTAGAGAATTGTTTCAAACAGCTGTTTCTTTAGTCAGGCCAAATTTTGAGGCTGGCTGAACACATTTGTTTTGTTCTAGAACATTCAGAAAACATATACTTGCTATAGGCCCTTTTCAAAAACTGATTTGTGCAACCTGAATTGAAAGAGTAAGTAAACAGGAAAACGTACAAACAACAGCTTTCTAAGAAACCAGTACTGATTAGAAGGACGGTGGTGCATCTTTCTCCTAAAGCTGGCTCTGCACCTGAGTAATGAATATTTTTCTTCGTTTTAGGTACACGCTTTTCATCGTGCTGTACCCGATGGGAGTGTCGGGAGAACTGCTCACAATGTATGCAGCCCTGCCCTTCGTCAGACAGGCCGGCCTATACTCCATCAGTTTACCCAACAAGTACAATTTTTCCTTCGACTACTATGCGTTCCTGATCCTAATAATGATCTCCTACATTCCCAGTAAGTAAACAGCTCTGCGTATATTTAATTATGTTTTAAAATTCGGCTCTACAATAACTAGAGTTAAATGTCTTTGATTGTTTTTGCACCATGTCCAAGCAAAGGTAAATCTAATTTCCTGGGAACGCTTGGTTTTTATTGAATGACGACTGTCAAAGGGAATTTTCTCCGGCAGTAATTGAATAAAGATGAACCCTTCTCAATACAGCTGCCAAAATGGAGCCCTTCTCAGTATGTGGGTTTGAAATAGTGAATACCAGGGTAGGGTAACTAGATATTGGGGGAAAGTACTGAGTGGAAAACAAAAAAGCCATGAAAGACTACTTACCTTGATTTTAATTTTCTGTCTCTTAAGAACTGCTTATTATGGTATTTGAAAAACATGGTATTGTCTACCAGTGAGATGTTTAAAAAACAAACAAAACACATGGTAAAAAGATTTTTGCATTGGTTACTACATCAGAATAGACAGTTAAGTTAACTTCATTTTGAAGGGATCAGTAGTTAACTAGAAACAAATAAAATAAAAATAGATTTAGTTTTATATTTTTCTGTTTTTCCTTTTCTTATTAGCCCTAAAATCATCTGAATGGGACATAGTGTTCTCTTCAGGCTGATTTCCAGTTATTTTAATAGTTCTACCAAAGGTTTGAATATGTGGATAGGCTGGGCGCAGTGACTCATGCCTGTAATCCTAGAACTCTAGGAGGCTAAAGCAGAGGATTGCTTGAAGTCAGGAGGTCGAGACCAGCTTGAGCCAGAGACCCTGTCTCTACTAGCTGGGCATGGTGGTGCACGCCTATAGTCCCAGCTATTCAGGTGGCTGAGGCAGGAGTTCCAGGTTGCAGTGAGCTATGATGACGCCATTACACTCTAGCCGGGGCAACAGAGCAAGACTCTGTCTCAAAAATAAATAAATAAATAGGTAGATAGATAGATAGATAATCAAATGTGCTTATGGGCATACTCAGTGACAGAAAAAGACATGTTTTCAGCTATTCAGGAGGCTGAGGTGGGAGGATCGCTTGACACTGGGAGTTCAAGGCTGTGGTGTGATACGATCGCACCTGTGAATAGCCGCTACACTCCAGCCACTGCACTCCACTCAAGACTTTGTTTTCTAAACAAAAAGAGAAAGATACGTTTGATGTCTCTGTGAGGTGAATCCTGTTTCTTGAGGAGGAGTTTAGTCCTTTTCTCGAATTCTGATGTTCGGTTGTAAATCTTACAATAGATTTTTACATACCAAAAGGATCTTGTTATGCCCAATAACATATAATGTTAGTGTTTCTTCTTATTTAGCTATTTCTGTAGCCATTGCAACTCTGAATCTTATTTTAGTCTATGAAGACAGATGCTATATTCTCCCCTAAACCCCAGGTTAAATTCAGACAGGGTTGGATTTTTCTTTGGCTCACAGCCTTATCTGAATGAATCATCCTAACAATCATAAGCAACATGTTTGTGTCCCTCTGTGGAAAATTGCATTTCATGCACTGTGAGGAAAAAAACTACATCCAGATTTCATGTGAAGGCATATCTTGGAGAAATTCTTGGATGCAGTTCTGTTTCGTGATTCATTTTTCACTCTTTATTCATTATCAAGTCCTCCTCTTCAGTACTGGAACCATGGAGGCTAAAGGCCATCTCTCTTCAAATGTAGAAGGTAGTTGATTTTCAAACAAAAAATAAACGTGGCCAGGCGTGGTGGCTCACGCCTACAATCCCAGCACTTTGGGAAGCCACTTGAGGTCAGGAGTTCCAGACCAGCCTGAGCAATATAGCAAGACCCTGTCTCTACAAAAAAATAGAAAAATTAGCCTGGCATGGTGGTGTGTGCCTCTAATTCCAGCTACTTAGGAGGCTGAAGCAGAAGGATTACTTGAACCCAGGAGTTGGAGGTTGCAGTGAGCTATGATGACGCCACTGCCCCCCTCACGCCCAGGCAACAAACCCTGTCTCTGTCTGTGTCTCTCTCCCTCTCCCTCTTCTCCTTCTCTCTCTACCAGATATATATATGTGTGTATATATACATGTATATGTGTGTGTATATATATGAATCTAAAACCTTAAATAATAAAAATTAACTAATAGTTCCTCACCTTTCTAATATTGTTTTCTCTTTTTTTTCTTTTCTTTCTTTCTTTCTTTCTTTTTTTTTAGAGACAGGTTCTCATTCTGTTGTCCAAGCTGGAGTGCAGTGGCATGATCATTGCTCACTGTAGCCTTAAACTCCTGGGCTCAAGCGATCCTCTTGCCTCAGCCTCTCAGGCAGCTGGAACTGCAGGCGTGTTCCACCATGCCCAGCTCATTTTTTATTTTTTGTAGAGACAGAGTCTCACTATGTTGCCCAGCTGGTCTTGAACTCCTAGGCTCAAGTGATCCTCCTGCCTCGGCCTCCCAAAGTGCTGGGATTACAGGCGTGAGCCACTGTGCCTGGCCTCTAATGTTGTCTTCTTAGAGTTTCATTTTCCACTCTCAAGAGCAACAATTCACAGTTGCAGTTTCGCCACACCTAGAGTAACACATACTATCCCAGTGGGCACCACAGAATTTATTTAAATTCAACATATTAACAGTTTTTGACGAATGGGAGATATGTACCATTCATTGGATACCTGGGAAAGGGGCAGGGGGTATTAAGAAATCAAACCCATGGCAGGTGCCTCCTTGTGAACAGAAATCTGGGGCTCCCTCCCTCAGGGTTTGTGCCGGTCATCTTTGTGCTCTGGCGCCAGCCAGTGCCAGCCTTTTTGCCTCTTTCTGCCGACCTCTTGATGCAGTGGCTGGGTCCCGTCAAGCCCAGGCGGCTCTCCCATGACAGTAGGGTTCCTGGAGGAAAACAAGCCCAGTTCCGTGGGACTTTGCATCTTCCCATTGGAAGAGAGAGAGGAGAGAGAAAGCAACCCTCAGGGTCTGCTGCCTGTTAGAGAGCAGGGCAGACTCTGCTCCCAGCAGAAGTCTGCTTTCTTTACCTCAGTTCCCTCTCTCTTCTTCTGATCGCAGCCTCCTTTCAGTAGGAGAACTTGGCTTGGTTAAGTCTAATACAGTTTCTTTTTTAAGGCAGCTTAACCTCTTGTAGACCAGGAAAAAGGGTGGATCCCAAATAAGGATTAAAAGATTCCCTACAAATCCCTGATGCCTTACCCAGGTCCAAGATGGCGCCCAGGCCACACCTGCTGCTACAGGGCACCCTTCGTGTCTGCCGGCACTCACTGGGCTCTGGCCTGAGCCAGCACCCGGGATGTTTTCAGTAGTTCAAGTTGTTAATATTGACACTGGTTTGTACAGTTTGTTCCAGCCAACTGCACATTTCCAATTTTCCAAAGCTTTGTATTCATCAGAAGAAAATACAGAATTAGGAGAGGTTGCTGTTGACATGCAATCTCCTTTACCATATTTAGTTTTCCTTCTATAGTTTAGGGTTCTTTTAATCTTCTTCAATGGGACGTTGATGATCTCCATGTAGTATGTAAAGTAGCATCTGTTCCTCATGTCCTGATCCACTGCCATATTGTACACTCAGCCCAAGCTGTGGCCCAGGAGCATTGGCCCCCAGAGTTTCCTCCTCATGTTGGGTTGTTTTGGGTCCCTGGCAAGGTGCTCCTCTCCTGGTCTGCTTCACTTGCAGTATGTACAGTCTCAGTACAATACAGTATCTGAGGACTCCGTAGGCGTCTAAGTCCTGTTTACATTTTCCCCTCAAAATTGGCGAAAATGAGTTATGGGGGAGGAGACCAAAAAAGGTCGAGAAACACTGACGTGGGTGCGGACGCTGAGAAGCTGGCACTCCCCGACCATAACCACATCTCTAGTTTTTAGAGACACTGAGAAGGGACCTGGCCCAGTAGCACCCACAGCCCCACAGCCCCGCACACAGGGACAGACACACACGCATGCCCAGTGACTGCCCTCCGAGTGTCCTGAACTGGCAGAGCAGAAGGTGGAATTCTCAATAGCCCATTGTCACATTAAGATTTTTTTTTTCAGTGTTTATCCTGAGTATAGCCCATGTAGTTAAAAATAGTAACCACGCATCCGGAATTGTTTCAATCACAGTTAGGTTCAGTCTGAACATGTAGGTAATTCAGATGGAGATAGTATGAAAGTTTTGGCCCCTCACATGTGATTGTTCAAGCTGTGGAGAACAGCCCAAGCACCCCCAGGCCCCTGGCCTCCCACCCACATTCCTTTATCTGGAGCACTAAGGAACCTCTGGGAAGATGTGAAGGAATGAAAGGCCGTATCTGTCCCCATTTCTGGCATCTGACCCTCCTGGTAGCCTGCAGGCCCTTACCCATGGACATGAAGTTCTTGCTTTAACTGCCACTAAGGGCCTAATGCAGAGCTTCTAGGTCATTATCCTCCCTGGACCCTCCAAACCAGCTGTGAGGCTGTAGCCACCACTGCAGGGTAACGACTCACAAATACAGCCAGCGGGAGGGCCCCTAGCAAGCTTAGCTCACAGCATTTCCCTTTGCTAAAGTCAATCTATAGAAATGTGACTGGCCCCCACGTTTTTAAATGATTACAATTAGCATTCCTTATGGCTTAATTATATCTTTACTTCCAGTTTTTAGATTATAGAGCTTGTCAAATACTCTGGCTTCCATACCAAAATAGTTCTCTCCCTGTTGAATTATATGCATAGGCTGGGTCTTTTCTGTGAACAACTTCCTGCCTGGAAATAGCGAGCGGAGTGGACGGAGTGGACGGCAGCGCCGTGGAGCGCCCGGCCTCCCGCGCAGCTCAGGAGCTGTGTGCGCACTCACCGACGTCCTGTGCTTTGGCAGGATCCTTTGAAATCTGGCCGACTTGGAGCCCATTTAAAAAGGAAGAAACTGTCAGGGGAGAGTTGGCAATAGTAGAAATTACCTCCCCAAAAGATAGGTTACTGTCGAAAAAATAAGAAATTGGAGCTGTTGGGGAAGGGAGAGGAGGGAAGATATTGTATACCAAAGGGCATCCCACCCAAAGTTGTTTACACGCAGCAACATTGTGTAGGCCAGGCAGTTCAAACTGGCAGTTCCCAGCAGGGACACCCTAGGCATTTTGGGTGGGCCAGTTCTTAGCTGTGGCAACTTTGTGCATCGTAGGATGTTTTAGTGTTCCCTGGCCCAGGTGCTACGTGCCAGTGACCTTCCCCTCTCCCCACTTCTCTCCATATATTCCCTAGGGAGGCAGTACCACCCTGTTCATTTGAGAACTGGTACTTTTTTTTTTTTTTTTTTTAGGCTTTTTTTTTTCTGAAACAGAGTCTCGCTTTGTTGCCCGGGCTAGAGTGAGTGCCGTGGCGTCAGCCTAGCTCACAGCAACCTCAAACTCCTGGGCTCAAGCGATCCTTCTGCCTCAGCCTCCCGAATAGCTGGGACTACAGGCACGCGCCACCATGCCCAGCTAATTTTTTATATATATATATATAAATTTTTTTAGTTGTCCAGCTAATTTCTTTCTATTTTTTTTTTTAGTAGAGACAGGGTCTCGCTCTTGCTCAGGCTAGTCTCGAACTCCTGAGCTCAAACAGTCCGCCCGCCTTGGCCTCCCTGAGTGCTAGGATTACAGGCGTGAGCCACTGCTCCCGGCCGAGAACCAGTACTTTTAAAAATATTCTCTGAAATTGTTATGGCAGGGCTGACCGGGAATAGACCAAGAGACACACACAGAGATTTCGGCAATACAGGTTTTATATGCCGGCTGGTAAGGCTCAGAGGGGAATTTGCTCTCCCCAAATTCTGAGCACCAGACAAAGAGCATTGCAGTCTTTTATACACTCTGCTTAAGGAGGAGGGGCACGGCTGCAACAGGGTTAACTTTAGTGAGGCAGGGTCCTAAGCTACTTTACAGCCTGGTACACTAATTGCTACAGGTGATTTATGAGGGCAAGGTCACAGGTGAGGAGGGGGCCCAGATAAGGATCGCAAGGAAAAAAAAAGCCCAGTAGTGGAATCTCTAAGAATTCCACTTTAGTGGAATTTTCCAATCTTCCACTTCAAAATGACCAAGAACAAAAGAATCTGCAGTGCCTAAGATATGGTTTACTTTTCATAAGGGCTTTTTCTGCATCCAAACCTAGCTTAGTTGTGTTCAAGTCAAATGTATTCCTTCCCATCCTCAGTCTTCCCATCGAAAGAATAACGTCTCTTGGGAAGTAGTTTGGGGTGCCCCACCCCACCCCGGGACTAGAGAGACTAGACCCAGGGCCAGAAGCCAGAGCCTGATCCTAGCTCTGTCAGTGATTTGCTGTGAGGCCCCAGGCAAGTTGCTCACCCTCCCTGGAGCTCGAATTCTTCCTCTTTATAAAAGGAATAGTAACTCCATCACTGGAATTCCTCACCTGGTTGTTGTGAAATTGATCAGAATAAATGTGAAGATAGCTTGAGCCCAGGAGTTTGAGGCTACAATAGGCTATGATTGATGACACCACTGCACTCTACCCCAGACAACAGAGCAAGACCCTGTCTAAAAAAAAAAAAACAAACAGTGTAAAGAGTATTATTTGGTGGCTCTAGGCATCTTGATTGGTAATGAATGATAGTGACAGTAGTATCTGTCATCCCACTCCCCACCACTCTCCCTCTCAGCTAAAGCAAGGTAAGCAAGGAAAGAAAGGTAAGTCTCTCAGTGTTGTTCCTGCCCTTCCCCAAGCCCACCTTGTTACCTTCCTTGGTTGCTAGACAAGAAAGTAGTCAGATGGTCAGAGAGGACCTCAAATCCATGTGCTTTAAATAGAACGTGCAACTTTAAATGATCTCCCTAACGTTTTTTTTTTCTTTTCTTTCTAGTTTTCCCCCAGTTGTACTTCCACATGATACATCAGAGAAGAAAGGTCCTATCTCATACTGAAGAACACAAGAAATTTGAATAGTTCCTGCTTTCTGCACCTCCCCCCCCAAAACAAACTTTTCAATGATCAAAAAATGCTGCAGACTTTTTGAGTTCCCAATACGTTTCATAGAAAATAAGTAAGAACTATTTTTAAAATATTTAAAATAAAACAAAAACCAAAATCCAGTGTCACATGGGCCTGGGATTTTCTATTTAAAAAAGGCTGTTACATAAAACATCCTGGCCAGTCCATTTCAGCATGCTCTTTGTTTCAACCAGAAGTTCCCAATATTTATGATGGCACTAGAAAGAGATTTGGCATTTTATATCCTCCTGTGTCCTTCATGTATCTGATAAATAAATATCTGTAACACTAAATACTTGAGAGTTACAGTCTGAGTAATGAAGTTGTACCAACTGAATGCCCAGCTTGCAGTAGAGTTATGTTTCAGTCTGCAGTGTGTTTAGCATTCCCTTTTCAAAGTGCTTGACTGCATGCTGGAAACTATTTGTATTTTTGAAGCGGCAAACTTTGTTCTCTGGAATGCTCTGAAGTTATGGCTGGAACCTATCCCCTCATATCTACTGAATGAATTATAAAATGTATATGCCTGTGAAGCTTTGAGATAGTGCCCGTAATCCAAAAACATCTAGAACCCTTTTGTTTGTTTTCAATTGAGTCATTACTGCCTGCCACTAAGAAACGTGCTTGAATTTAATAATTATGTGTACATTGTAAGAACCTACCTTATCTGGAGCTTAGCCTCAATCATATTTTAACACAATGACAGTTCTTAGAAAGGGAAAACTCCATAGCTAGTAAGTGACAAGCACCTATCACGGTGCTGTGCTCGGAACACCTCTGAGTGATGCGAGTGAGGTACGTGCCGGTGGCCGTTCTCATTTGTGGACCTGAAGCCAATCCAGCCACACGGGAGTGGGGGACCTGTAATCGAAAGCACATGGAAGGCACCATGTTGGAAATGAAGTCCAGAAAAACATTCAGGAGTAGGTTTTTACACCATAATTTTAGTTTTTAATTTTCTCTCACTCTTCTGTTTGGATACTTTTCCTAATTATGATCCTATGTTAATTCCCACCAAGTTGTAAGGCCATAGGCAGTAAACTGTTCCAGTAGGGCAGCTATGAGCTAAAAGCAGTATCATCTCCGGGTGTTGGAGCAGCCAAGAAATATTTTGGTCCTATGGACATTGTCTAATTAACACCACATCTTCATACCATTCAGTTGCTCAGCTGTGCATTTAAAACCCTTCAAGAAAGGGTTCAATGAAAATGTAAAAGCACAAGTTTAGATGTGCATTAAATTTTAAACAACACAGTGTCTTCTTTATGGAGCCTTTTTTTCTTTTCTTTTTCTTTTTTTTTTGGTTGATCTTTAAGACTAAGTCTAGCTTACTGAGTAGTTGTCATTTAAAATATAAATTGCTAATATCAGAAGAGTGTCATAATGGAAAACTAAATTTTTAAATGCTTATTTTCATAGAAGCTTAAAAATTTATTGCAGGCAGGTATGTAATAAATTATTTTTGAATTGAACATTAACATTCTGCTTCTGAAAGTCAGCACTCTTGGGCATTTTGAGATTGGAATCTATTCTTGTATTTGATAGACAAAATATGTGGGAAAGATTTTTTTTTCATACTTTCTCTGTCTTTTTATTCTTCCAAAATTTATTGCTACTGTAAAGTAGAATCAACCTGGGTTATATTAGTCTTATTACTTTCTTCAGTAAAGTTTTTTTCAATTGTTTTTGGAAAACTTCTAAAAGATAAGATGAAAAATGCAGGTATTTTGGGATTACTGGACTGGGGGTTTTATTCAGGCCTCTTTATTATAATTTGTCACTGGTTATGAAAAACATTCTGTTGCAAACAGTGGTGTTGCATCGAATTGAACTTTGGCAACAAGAACACAGCAAACAGTTCCCTTTTCAGAAAGGGTCTCTACCCCAGTGTGAATTCTTGTACATCAACCTTTAGAATCCTTGTGGCAGATAAGCAAGGCATGTCACTGTGTCCTTCAATAACCTCTCCCCGTAAGTGGTTTCTTTATCCCTAACATGAATTCATTTCTCTTTTGAAGTAGTGTTCTTTTATAAATTAAGAACATCCAACCCACCAAATGTCACCTCTTCTTATGAAGAGTGAATGAGGGATGTAGTGTTTTGTGGGTATTTCACTGGACCAAGCGGTTTCATTTCAGGTCATAGTCAAAGGCATCATCTTCCCGGCTACCCACTTGAGTGTGTTTCAGATCCCCCTGCGGGGCCTCCTTCGGGAAGAGAATTCTTTGAGGTGCACAGTAGTGCTTTGTAGACACAAGGTGCTGATCCGCCTCTTGCTGTGTTCTGTTTGCCAAGGTTGGGACTGTTCATTTAACATGTACCAGCCGTTATCAAAGGCCCCGTGGAGAGTGTCATGGAATAAAGCACTATCCTCGGAGACGAAAAGTTCCTCCAGAACAAACTTCTGACAGGAAAGGTATAGAAGATGGAGAGTTAAAGAGGCATATGAAGAGATCCTGCCCTCATTTTTTACTTGTTTTTTTTTTTTTTTTTTGGTTATTCGTTTATAATAAAAGGTTTGCATTTACGTGATCCAACCTGCAAATTATTTTCAATTCTGAGTTTCGGATAAAACATCAAAGTCAATATGTACTGCTCCTTTGAAATTTGGGTAAAAAATTATACACCCATATATATAGTCATTTTTGTATTTTTTCTATGTTGTGAAAACCAAAATTGTAATTTTATAAGTCTTTGATTCACTAAAATTATATAATTTAAATGTATTTTTTGTATATTTAGAATAAGGAGTTCAAAGATTATGCTTAACTTTCTATGCATGCATTTGAAAGCTGTTTTTACCTGATAATGTTAATGTGGTAATAAGTTGTGTTCATAAAACACTGATCTGTGTTGCATTTCAAAATAAACTAGTGTGTGCTCTGCCTGGATTTGAAATACTGACCAGCGAGTATAATGGTTTTGCACATTCAATAGGCCTGAATGTGGCGTTGCAGGAATATGGAAGGGTTTCGGTCGTGTTAATGGACTCCAGCTCTTTCTCTGACAATTTTAAAATCTATTTCTACTATTCATAATGGTTCTGCACTCACAGGAAACATATATTAAGAGGTTTCCACAAAGTCATTCTGCCCTGCCAGTCAGTCCTCAGGCTCACCAAGCCAGTCTGCATGCTGGGATTCCTCATGTAAGTGACCAGGAAATCTAAGAAGTTAATCAGCAAAAGGTTGAGAACCCTTGTCTTATAATGAGGTGTTTTTGGTGTAACTTTTCTGGTAGAAGCTGAGAAGGGAGATACTGTTGCCCAGCACTGTTCATCTTGTATTAAATAACAAGGTGCAGTGAAGTCCAAGCACCTCATCCTGAAAATGCCTCCAAACAGAACGATCCTAGGAACTGCGCCCTCACTCTCAAGGTCACAGAAACATTGGAAGGACACTGACTTCGGGTGTCCTCAGCTGGGTCACTTCTCACCTAGCTCTGGACCCCCAGTTGTTTCACCTCAGAACAAAAGCACTGCTGTCTCCCTGTGCTGGCACGTTCTAGTTACTTCTCTGGGTGATCTCTCACTCGTGGTGCCTGCAGCGATAACATACCCACCCATCCCACCCCAAGTCTGCTGGGTCTTTCTCAGAATCAACCATCACCACTGCCCCAGAGTGTGGTCTTTGTTCCAAAGGGCAACTTTTTTTCATATTTAAAAATTTTTCTTTCTAAATATCATCAAGAAAAAGTCTTTAAGATTTATTTTGGGGGCCTTGGTGCTTTCTTTATTTCAGATTTGTTAAAGTCGCATAAACTGGGGCTGCAAATAACATTTTTTTCCTAAATGCTGTCCGATCCCAGCCTGGACGTTACCAGCCCAGTGGTTACACTACCTGTGTCCTCATACAGAGCCTGCTCTGTTTCAGAGACAGGCTTTTCATTTACAAGAAGAGAAATAAAATTATTGCGACTGAAACTGAAGAACAGATGGTAAAGTTAATAGTAGAGGCTATCCAGAAAACACAACCTTTGCAATCTTCGAGTTGTAATAGGAAACCGAGGCTTTCTAATTTGTCATTGTCATATTTTGTGGCAATTATGTGTACTATGTTAACATAAACCCTAGCCTGGAGGAATTACCATTGGCATAATTAAGAGGCCTACTGTTACACACAGCATTCCGAAAATACTGCTGTGTTGTTCTGTTCCCTTTAGCAAGAATGAAGATTAGCTTTGCAATTCCTTTTATTATTTATAAGAAAAAAAATCCCAGCCTTGCAAATAACCTAGCTCATTGTCATACAGTTTAGTGGTGAAGAAACTGTTCCAAGCAACTATTACCAAAAATAGCCATACCTATTAACATTCCTCTGCCTACAACTGAGAACCAGAGTTAGAAGAGAGAGCTGTGTGGTTTTTGACCAGCACTTTCTTTTAAACATGTGAGACACTATTTAATCTTTTTTTTAATTTAAAGATAGTCCTTTAGTGTTATGGGGACAAGTCTCATTACCAAAAATAGTCTTTCCCACAAAAGGCAATTCACCCTAAAAATCTCTCGTTTGATGAGCAAAAATAAGAATGTAAGAGGCTGTGTATTTAAGCACCTAGTACTCGTTTCATAAATCCTCCTATGTTTGGAAATCATGTTTTCTGCTCCCTAATTCCAGAGCATAGACTTAATACTACAGCAGTGCTTTCACATCTATCTCTGGCCTTGGGCGGATGCAATCCAGATGTGTTTCCAGGAACACCATTTCCGCCTCCGTGTTGTCGTAGCTGGGCTCCCCCACTGGGGGGCAGCACTTCACAAGCGATCTGGGGGCCTTCGGAGCCAAAGGAGTTTGGAAAACAGCTTCAGCCCAAGGACGCGGAAAGGGGCTCTAACGAAAATCAGTCACGGATTTTTATTGTCCATATAAAGCAAAGACAGATTTTAAAGCATATTCTGGAGGAGTACATGAAATCACGTTTTTTTAGAACAAAGAAGCCAGCTTGAGTGTGTGCTTGGAGGCTCGGTCAATCTTCTTCCAGCTGTAGAGCGCCCCCCATCAGGGACCCTGCGGACTACTTGGCTTTGTTTGGAGCTGGGTCATGAAGCAGGTGTTAGCCCTCCTGTTCAGTCGAGAGCCTGCTTGTTAATATTTGAAATGTTCAGGGAGGTCAGTTCCCACTCTGACTCCGTCTCTGGATATTTTTAGAGGGTGGCCTGGGCCATGAGAAAATGTCAGGTCACCTTATAAGGCGGCGTCTGGACCCAGAATGCTTGTCTGCAGCGCGCTCAGTACCCGGGATCTGTGCTCACTTGACTCTTGGACTGTGGGATTTCTCACAGATTTAAAATGCTTCTGTTCATGCCTCAGATGATATTCGCCCTTCAACAAGCTGAAAATCTTCCTCGAGAGATAGCTGTTTAAATGACAGCCATTTCAGACATACCAGATAGATAACCAGGGGGCTATGGAAACTGAAGACTGTCCATCAATAACCACTAGCTGCCTGTGCTTGGGCTGATACTCCTGTTCTACTGCAGGTGATTTGTTTATTTAGTGTCTGTTGATGTGACACCCACAGGCTATTAGTTCCGAGTGGCAACGGGAGGGTGGGCATGGTAGGGAGAGGGCTCTG